AGCTAAAAGCGTCCGACCTACGGTAAATGTTGTATATTACGACTTACGGACATGCCGGGGAGGAATAATGCGTGTATATAGTTTTTACATATCAAAAACCGTAGGTACAGGGCCCACAGCTATAATATACAGGAAGCTAGGCAGGGGCGGGTTTTCCTAAATCATGTATACAATATATATATAAATAATGAGTAGTGTAGCGGTGGGTACGCGTGTTTGGCGAAATTATTATGTGAAAACGGGATATTTCACCGTCCACGGCGAAGGTTTTACCCTAATAAATTATTACACGCCGTCATATATACTTAAACCGCAGCGCGGCATTGGTGAATTTATTTATATTTTGCTTTTTTTTTTTGGTTTGTTTGTGTATTACGTAACAGTGTCTACAACGTTATTATAACATCTAAGATGCTTTCGTAACAAACACGGAATTATCATACGGAAAATTCGATTGTTCTGGCGGACAAGCAAGATATAATAATATATATTGTACATAATATTATATAGAAGTAAATTATTATGAAGTAAGCGAAAAGACGAGTTACAGTGTGACCAGAACGACGAAATCGCGTTTCTCTTGTACATATTTTTAAGTTGTCCCACTACTACTACACGGTGTGATACAAACACTTATGACTTGTCGGTTTCAGTGGTCACACTGTCGGTCGCCTTCTTGATTACTTCGTTGCCGAGTACATAAGGCATCATATTAAATGATGTTACAGCTTTATATATTTTCACTCTCTGGTCTGATGCACTTTTTGCTATTTTTTGCTCGACCCGTACTGCCCAACGCTTAATGGTTTTTACAATTGAACGTTTTATATATTTTAACACAGAGTAGGTAGGTGCCATCGTTTAGATTTCATCACGTGAGAACGTAACGCGAGGGCGAATTGAAAATACTAATAAAATAAAAACAACGACGTTGATGGAACAATAAAACGGTCGTGTAACGTGAAATAACATTAAATCGAATAAAGTCTTGCAAACTTTCAAATCTAATATTCGAATTAAATGTATTCCGATACTTACTCCAACAAGCTTTAATCAAATGCGGATTCACTTATTTGTCATAGTAACTTTGCTAAACATCTGTTAACAAAGAATAAGAGCCCTTGCGAGAAGAATGGGGAGGGAATAATTTTATAAATTGAAAAAAACGGTTGTAAATATTAAATTGCGATTGTAAGTATAATATTGTAGCTTAAGGCTATATTTAATCTAAGTTAATATTTTTCGGGTTAGTGTGAAAGCTTTGAATTCGTTCGACTTTGAATGCGACTTTTACACCTGTCCATAATTTGTGTGTGTATTTTAATGATCAACAAACACATGTCAGAAACGTTAAAGCCTAATGTAAACAAATTGTATACAGACAGAACCACGCCCATTTTATACCGACTGAGTCTACTTTGCAACAAAGTAAAAAGTGTTTCGTGTAATAATAATAATAATAATAATACCGTTTGAAAACTCATGACGGTTATATTCTTCGCAGTCACGCGAAACGGCCATAATCTCAATCTTAATGTAATCCGTAAATTCATTACTCAAAACAAGTACAAACTTTGACAGCAGTATTAATACAATTGCCGCTTTTGCGTCAATCATATTATTTAATTAATGCGCGTTATACCGTGGAATTTGTATTTTGGTTGAATTATAATATAACAACATGCTGATCAGAATATTAATGCTTGTCGCGATCCGCTTTAGGCAGGCCTTTGTTTTAGCTTTTAGTGGCTTTTATTTTATAGACAACCGACGCCCATTCAATTTATTTTATGGCCTTTAAAAACATATAATATGCTGAGCTTGAACTGAATCGCACAAAACAACACCTATTGAGTTTTGAACGCTATTGAACGCTTAAACTTGAAATTTTTAATCGAAATAATGTCAGGTTAGGTTTATTGGGAAGTAAATATTTTAAAATTGAAAATTATTTCATTAGTGTTACGATTTTAATGGAACAGATTAATTTATTAATAAATCTCTCTAACTTGTAAATAAATGTGTTTTCCCAGGGGCAAGAGGGGTAATTTTAAACATTCGGAGCGAAGGTAATTGGGATTTTTTTCCAATAAAATAATTGGATGCTTTTAATTATAATATTATGCTGATATAACACAAACATTGTTGGTTTTTCTATAACCCCACTTGACCCTAAAAACCTTTTGTTTTTTTAATGCGAAACTGAAGTCAAGTAACCACAATCAAGCATGACAAGCAAAATAATGATCGATCTCTCCTCACTATGCATAATATGGAGTTTAAATAATTATTTTTTCAATATTTTCTGGTTTCACGGTATTAATCAATTTAACGATAATGGTGTTATTTATTTACCATGGCCGTCGCTGGAGTTGTTTGTTTAGTTTAATCTTTCTTAAACTAATTCAGTTTGGACGCTTTTGTAAGATTATGGTAACGCTCTTCGTTGTCCATGCTGAGATCTTCCTGTAATGTCAACAAAAACCAATCGAATAATATCAACTCGGTAATGAAAAACTTCCGTTTAATTTAACTCCACTATAAATACCGATGAACTTCGAAACTGCCGTTAATGTACAGATGGTTTAAGTAAAAATCGCGTCACTTTTATACAATATTAAATGTATATATATATACATTATAAAACCAGCTATGTAAAACAGAAATCAATGTTTAAAAGTACACCGATGTTATGCTTTGACTTTTCTTTTATTGACGCTTCTTAATTAATTTAACTATTATTTATTATAATTATTACAATGCACAGATGTTAAAACACGAACCTGAAACAATACTTAGAATAATCGCCGTTTTCAAAATAAACACTGACAACTTTAATACAATGTTGTGTTTTTGTCACTAACAACAGATGCTGTACTCTTACGGTAGGTGTATGTAAACGCTATTAAGGAAGTTTTCAAGCAATGCCTAAAGGGCAATAACATTTCAGACACTTTTGGCTATGGAAGTTTTCATCCTACCAAAGAGCTTATATATAGTTTTTAATGTTTCTACTATTCGTCGGTAATTAATTGTTGTACAAGAAATTCCTTTTGTTATAGAACGGATAATAACCGTTAAATCCGTTCTATCTCAACGTTATAAAAGGGCGTTTTACAAAGAAAATACAATTACGCTGTGATCTCGAAAAATGTCCAGTGCGAAAATAGAATCTTGTAAATCAAGTGGGCCGTTTTAACTTAATATGATATTACCCTTTTTTTTAATAATTTCCAGAATCGTTTGATCTGTTACTAGCTCAAGTCGATAATTGACATACATACATAAAATATTCCGCAACATATTGTTAGGTTCTTTACAAAGAGTAAAACTAAATGAATATGAGCATGTAACAGAGATAAAAAAAAACTTACAACTTTAAATGTTTATATAATGTATTTCACATTTTAAGTCGATGTTTTTGTACATCGACCCTCTTTTTCACAATTATGTATTTATGTTCTTTTACTTATATTTATATGAAAAGCAAAAAGTCTTTTATAAAGTTAGCGTGATTAATATTTACTAAAGTCTTTACAAAATACGTTGTTTTTAAAGTGCTTTTTAATATAATTTATTTAATTGCGTTAAAAGCTTTGGTTTGCTAAGAAAAAATAAAAAGCATCAAAAGTATGAGCTGTTTTACATACCTAAAGCAATTTATTGAGATAATTTAAAATCGTTTTGGCCGTTTCCTTTTTTGACCGTCAATTTTAGAAGGAAGGATATAGAAACACATAGCAGTGTGTCTTAAGGAACAAACTCCATAACTTACCTAAGTTAATGCTCTTGGACGCCTTTACAGTATTGTATTACTATTAGTATTCATTATTTACAACGGGGCCGAACTATTATACCCACAAAGAGGGGTAACCAACAACTCTTGCTATACCGCCGTGGAAAGCGGTCGGGTGTGTATACACTATTGTGTAATCTCCAATGAATTAAGCATTCGGATATTCCAAACAAGGTATAGTATATTATAATAATCAGCTTGTTCGGCGCCACTGATTATTTATGCGACAAAACAAATTTTATACAGAGGCACATAATACCCATAGTACTGGTTAACGGAAAGTCTGCGATAAAGTATCCTAAACAAACCACCCGGCACGTTACAAACGGATCCAATAAACCGTTCTAACGTTGTTTGAACGGCGTTAACCGTATTATTGTATACATCCAAGTGCAAGTGCGATGAACTCCAAAAAAAAAAAAAGCTAATAAACTACTCGCCGAACGGCACAACAATATATTAGCAGCTAGTACTGTACTTACGCCGACCGAATCCGAGCTGATAAATAACGGATAATAAATTAATAAGTCTTAGGCGGATCATTCCCGAACAGTGAATGTGTTTTTTTTTTCCAGAACCCGGTGAAACGCCAGGGGCGGGTTTCACTGTTGAAATTGCCTCGCAAAAGTTGTACGGATTTCCGCATTTATTCATTCTACTTGAACTTTACCCGTTTGACGTAAACTTTTCGTTTTAACAGAGAAAATACGACCAGTTGTATTTGAGTTGAGCGTCGGCTTTAATATAGTAGTCTCTGTTCGGGATCTCTGCCGAGGTAGGAAGAAGCCGCTCACAATTTCTCATAACAGCTTCTAAGAACGCATGTACACGCAAAAATATTTATAACATAAAAACAAGTTGTTCTTCAGAACATACTTAGTAATATAATATGATAACCAGCGCGACGTATTAAGCTGTTAGGGTAATTGAGTTAATATTACAGGTATTACGTTACAGTTTTTATCTAGTTTTTTGTCATTCTTAAAATAACCATCATTTTAAGTATCAAGTTACAAGCTTGTAACTGTTATAGCTTGTTTAAAAATACATATATCGTAGAGGTAGAAAATATTGAAAAACGTTTCTATCTGAATAAAAATAAACGTGTACCTAATCCTGTTTTGATAATTAAAAAAGTTGGATATAACAAAAAATGTTTTTAAAAACAAATATTAATTGCATTTTTGTTTTTTTTTTGTTTTAGTGATTCCTGAACCGAGACAATTATGTAAGTAATTAAATATTTTTCAATAGTTTTTCAAAAACAGTTAATTCAAATCCTATACACGTGTAAATTATATTTTTAAAAACCGTACATAAGTAACATAGTTCCTTGCAATAAGGACAACAATATGTTATATTGGTTATTTTAATATTATAAGGGCTATACCATGTACACAAAAATAATTAATAGTACCTATACATATTTTATAGTATTCGTATTAGTTAGTTTGACAATATTACATAAATTATAATAATATATGAAACATTTGTCCTTATAAGACCTTTCTTTTAACAAACAACTTAAATTTTATAAATAGCATTTTTTCTAAGAATTGTGACATAAGTTTCCCAAACTTTTTGTTACTTTAAAAACAGGCACTGTAAAATGAATTAATTACACTAAGTTTGTAAACAAGAACTTAGGAAGTTCTTGAAAACGTTAGGCTACTATTTTTATATATGTTACAATCAATACCTTTAAACACAATATAACCACAATATCGTTTAATGAGGGATTTTCATAAGTAATTCATACTTTTATGTGCTTTTAAATTTTAATTGATACTAAATCATATTTACAGAAACTTTTTTTAAACCATAAATATTTTTAGTCAACACCAAGGTACTGTTTTATTTAAAAAAAACGTACAAAAAATTAGCCAATTTGATCGAAGTCATTGTTTTAGTTATTTAATAATACTATATATTATTAAATCATATTTTAAATTTTAATATTGGTTTTCAGATTAAAACTATACATAGGTATTCCATATATATTATATTGAACATAATATTTTTAATAAAACACATAATTGTACAAATTAATTACTTCTCAGCTTTGTATAGAGACTAAGGTATCATAACAAAATGTATAAGGACCCGAGTGGAAAAATATGAGTCATTTTTCAGAGAACTCTTTTATGAGATCCTTACGTTAAGTAGGTAGCTTAAATTATAAATATTTAATGACTTCCCGAGAATGTTTTTAATATTCATCAATTTTATTTTAATAATTTTATGCAAAATGAAATATGTCGTAGAATTGCGTTTAAAAACTTTAGACACCATACACTTTACTATGTAGCATTTGTTTATTTTTCGCTACATACCTCTTTGTCTCGACTACTTTTATGTGTTAACCAAATAAAATAATTTCCGTCGGCGAACGCATTTTGCCGAGCCATAACCGATCAAAACCGCAATGTGATGTGCATAATATAATATTACAGGAACGTTTGCAAATTAAAAAAAAAACATATAACTATAACCGATACAAAGTGGATGGATGGTGTTTCGCGTGGGCTTTATAATAATAATTACAAAATGTGCGTTTGGCCGGCCTATTCATCGAAGGCACGATGGTAGTTATTCATATTATTATTACACGCTGACACTCCCACAATAGCGTAGAAACAATAACCGCAGTAGGCGCTAATGGAACGAAATTACACTTGCAGATTCTCGAAGACCGAAATAACTAGTCCTTTATAATATATATTTAAAGTCACTTGATTTAGTAAATATTGAGTAAACGTGTAATATTATGTTAACATACTATAGGGACGTCGTTGCGTTCGGTCTGCTTAAAGGTGTGAAAATATTATTAGTGTGTCTACTACCCGACGGATTTGTAATTGTTGCCTTCGCGTGCAATCACCGTCGGTCCGGGCTCGACGTCATCCACTTTACACTTAGATACATAACATATTAAACCCTTCTCGAGTAAGTAACAAACAGACACGCAAACAGATTTACATCCGAAACCGTTAAGTGCTGCGAATCGCACAGTTTCGGCGAAAGGGTACAAGTTTGTAAAGTGCACCGTCCGTTTTACCTGGCCGTTAAAGTTTCACGAGCAAGATACATGAAGTTAAATTAAACGTCAATCATACAATTGTACATAAATCATCATCCTCTCACTCTCTCTCTCTCCTTGTCCTATGTTTCTCCGGATTCAATTTGGAAATTTAACGTTTTATATATGTACATATTATGCAGATTGTCTTTGAAACCGTACCGGACACTTGTCAAAGTGTCAGTTGCCTACGACCCTTGTTCTGTTCTGTAATGATTGCGTTACCGATGGAACACCATTGTAGTACACAACAGTATATTATTGTCAAATACACGTGTACAATGAAAAAAAAAATTAGACATGTCGACAATTGACAATTGTACATTTATCTTCTTTTTTTTTTTTACTCTTCCGAAGTGACAGGAAGCAGACGAGACAACGGTAAAGTTGCGTTTGGTAAAATATTAAATTAATTTATTATTATCATTAACATCCCTCGCTGTGGATGGAACACTAATACACATTATTTTAGCATGGTTGTACATAAATCACGATTCGCGCGATCGAATAGCAGATAATAATATGCGCTTCTTGAAAACATTTACCGGATAACCGCCGGCAACGAGATAGAATGTTCATTGTTCGTGAGTCTTCAACCGTGAACTCGGATAACAGCTATTCATACACATGTAGGTACATTTTTGCAAACAGGTACACCGTACGAAAACCGATTAAAATGCAAATCAAATACGTTATTAATTTTTATTTTTGGGTAGTCAGCAACTGCGCCAATTATAATCGGTGGGAGGAGGATATGGGGGATAGATCCCATCCCTTAAACTTTCATAGTTAATTTATCTGTATTTCTATTACTTTTAAGTAGGTACATCTGTTTTTAAACTATTCTAAAAAGGCCAATGGAGATAGGATCTATCAAAAGGTATTTGTTTTTCAAATAATATCTTCATACATTCGTACGGTTTACTTTGTTTCGGCACGGGGTAAAATTAATCAATTTGTTTTAATTTTCTACGACCTGTCTCGTTGGTCTTGTTTATGCCGACACAAACATACATCGAGATTTGACGGAGAGACTATGTTAAAAAGCCAACATTGCTTTAACGTTAATAGCAAAGACATGATAATATATCATTTTGAAAATTTCTCGTTGTTATTTTAATTATTATTATTATCAGTAGTAGTATTACTGTTGCTATCATCATCACATATCTAGCCGCCCAACTGCTTATGAACGAAACCGAAAAGTTGGCGCTCTTTGTTTGAATATATTATGCTGTGGTGTGTTCAAAGACACGCTAGTGGCCTTTATTACTTTTGTTACGGTTTCGAGGGGGAAACCGCTTGAAACGCAAAAAAAAAGTGCTCCCATAGTGATCCGAAGTCACTTAAGTCTTGTTTTATGTATTCAGTTTTACACTTCCAAAAAGTGTAACGGCCCGGTTCGAGTTTCCACTTGTGTTCGACCTAATTTAAATCAAGCATAAATCCAAAATGGTGTTGGACGATAAAAGTCGAGATTCCCTTTGGCTTTTATTTTTAGGGCTATTTTTTCATTGGTTGTTTTTTTTCCTATTAACTTATACAATCGTTTTATGAAACTGAAAATTGAATTTTCCATCGTTGTAGAAAAGCGTCACACGATTAATTCACAGAACTAGGCTACTGTTGTTTCCATAACAGTCGTTAAGTCGAGTAGTGAATAAATTCAGTATAACTATATTTAAAAAAAAAATTAAATTATATAAACACAACGCTTTGTCTTGGTATTTCTTATGTAACCTCGACAAAAATGCTTGGTTATATTTGCTTATATAATAATAGTATTTTAAAATAATTACTTTGAAACATCAATGATCCAACAGTTTTTTGTAACTCGAATAAGAAATATTCTATTTTTGTTCACGGTAAAAGTGTATTTTACTATTATATCAAATACGTAAAACAAGTTAGCAGTAATAAATAATTGGCTAGTTATAATATAAAAACAAATATTTAACAGTGTAATTAACCCTTGTAATACAATATAGTGTTCAGACCGTTATATTATTATAGTCAGGCATAAGGTATGATACTGAAACGCAACTCCTTAGAATACTGTGATATGGCCTATAGCAGACGCCGTCTTCTGGATAATAATGTCACAAAATTATAATAGTAAAAAAAATATATTGTTCGTTATTTTGAAAATTTAGTTTTATAACTTTTGCAAGCCAAGTATGAAAATGTATACATAATAATATTATATCTATATTATGTATGTGTATACGAATTTGCCACCAACTATTTGAAATGCATCATCTTGAATTCGGCAAGCAATGTATATTATTAATTGTGGTCGAGACGTGGAAACACCATTAATTGAATTACTAATGAGCTTATGAATTATACTTCGGCAATGGTGTTGAAGTTTCGCGGTAAATCAGCGTTTGCGTTGGTATAGCGCTACAGAACTTACCAAACTTTACACTTAAATAAACTTCTATCAAACAGAATATATCCTAAGTACATTTCACCGGGGTAACTCATCACTCAAACTACTACGTAATTGGGTTTAAAACAATATATATGCGTTTTCGACCTTCTTGTTTGTCAACACGTGACGTCAGCTAGACAGCAAAAACATTTCTGACCTGCCAGAAAATCTGCCACTAATTATTATCATATCTTTAGTCAATTTTGAGTACAGCTTGCATCCGGCTGTCGAAACGAATCAATAAAGCGTAAGCATGCAGTGTATGAACTATTATTATAAAAAAAACCAAAAGGAATTGAAAATAATTATAAAATAAACATTCCCAGACAACATTCCTTATAAAAATGTACCTATTACATTGTTCACACACCGACCCAACATTGATCTACAATTATAAACATTATGTATATTTTTTCAACTAGTGTATTATTGTGGTATGAATAATTTGATTGTGAACACACTACAACAGCTATTTTGCTACCTTGTGTTTCTTTGTAAGGCACATCTATGTAAACGAGTAACGCTGTGGATTACAAGTAGCTATAACCTCGATAATCGCGTTTGCATTTGATAATAATCAAAGTTCATCAAAATCGAACGTCGAACTTTCACAACGTTTCGGGGGCCAATAAGTCAAACGTTTTTCAAACTTGAGTAATTGCATTTTTTCGTGTGAAAATTGCGTGTTGCGTGCAAATTGCGAATTAATATGATG